ATATAATATTCCAAATGGATTAATATATTGGGAGAGATCAGCGCTTGATTGTGCCGGCATATTTTGCTTTTGGGAGTAAAATATCTACAACACATGATCAACGTCATTTTTTGACGTGATTGATTTTTCACACCTTGACTGCAAATCCGCTTTAATTGTGTATCCCTTTTCTCTTTGAATCCATTTTGACATTAAAAGACAAGTACTCTGGATGCATATTATTTCTCTCTAGCCAGTTTCAACATATTTTAGGTCTATACAAGTTTTTTCAGGGGCAAAACTTTAAAGAATGTTGGAAACGGAAACCCCTCCCCCCTTTTGACGCCATTTTCAAGGCCTCATTTGTTTGGACATTCCGTCTAAAATTTACGAAAATTTTTTATAAAACTTCCAGAATGAAGTGAAAATTTCATATTTTATGGAACAATTCTGTCCCAACACATACCTGAATTAACGGGAATTTCGGGTGTCAAATGATCATATCAAGAGAGTTTTCCTCAGTTACTCATAGGTAGCAAAAACGTCGTTTTCGAGGTTGCGCCGCCTGGACATACCATTGCTTACAAAAACATAACTAATTTATTATAAAATAAAATTCATGATTTATGATTTATTCTTTAGATATAAAAGATGATGCTAATTAGATATTTTAAAATTCATTGATGTACCTAAAGCAGTTTTAATTTTATGACGCTAGTCCACGAACTTTTTGATAACCCCTCGTAAGTAAGGGAAGTTGACGATAGAAAAGTTAAAGTCATCACGTTTATCATATAGCTTTATATATAAATGTCTTTTTTAAGTCAAATATCAAAGTATGACACAGAAGTGTCGCACTCTGTGGTATCTTTTATCTCAAGCTCACCAGGATATATCGTATCGACGTAGGAATGGAAAATTACCATTATTAATTGACAATACGTCGTCGATATATCTAAATGTCGAGTTGAAGATCACAGCAAGTGTTTTCTTCTTTTCACGCAAAAGATTTTGCATAAATTTTGCTTCATATGAATATAAAAATAAGTCTACTAATAACAGAACGCAATTTGTACCCATGGGAATTCCAATAGATTGTTGGAACACCTGGTCTCCAAAAACCACATAGATATTTTCAATCAAAAAACTCTAGCATCTTCTTGATGTCAACTTCAAAGTACTTATGTGTGCAATCAGAATCTGTTTTAACAAAATAATTTTGCAAATGACCAATGACGAGGTAATCTTTTTATGTCTTTTTAAAAAGTAGAAATAATGTCTAAACAATCTTTGTCACAACATTTTCAAACTTCAAATTGATGAACTAGCACTCACTTTTCAATTAGTTAAAGCTCATGACATGTTTCCTGATTATTAAATGTAGTGCAGCTTGTGAAACTTGGAATGGATATGAAACACTGCGACTACACTCTTTCAAACAATTTTAGGGGTATTTATAATGAAGATAATATGATAAATCACAACAATACTTCTTAAAATATCGTCGTTTACAGACCTCATTAACTGAACAGTGTTAAGCAATATTACATATCGGGTAATTTTCAAACATGAATGAATAAATACGACGCCTTTTGAATAGTTTCAATAGTTCAGACACATTTCGACTCTAAGGAATACTGTATTATCTTTGATTTTTTAGACCCAATCACAGCTAAATTTGGCCGGGTTTGTGAGAATTTGTTCTTTTATGGCAAGAGAATGGGCGGGTCTTAGTACAATAGAAGGATATGCGTGTCCTAGAAGAGCTTATATGGCTATTGTTATTATTTCGCACATAGTCATTGTCCAGTCCGATGAAGAACAACAAAACATGCTGGTTTTCTACGTTTACATTTTATAACAGACACGTGGTTTAGGTCAATTTACCTGTTATCCTTTTCTACATTTCAAACTTTTATAATGATCAGCCAGGGCTGTTTGTATACTTATAAAGCGCATGAATTTTCAACATTTCCGGTTTTTAGGACAAGAAATGCACATGAAACTTGTATTCACTGATACTCGGGAATACGTGTAGACCTATAGTGAATTGCTCACCAAACACGATACAAAACTTTAAAATAATATTTATTTATATAGAGGAAAATAAAACAAACATGATTTTATACACGTTTAATTTGTTATTGGCGTTTGTTGATCGTGGCATATTTAAAAGCAGCAGGGGGTCACCAAGCGTAAAAGGGCGACCCCAAATAACAACAAGCAGCAGCAGCAAGCAACATGAAAGCATAATATCACATGTACATATAATAAGCATAATAATGGCCGTTCCGGGTATACCGCGAACAGTAATTAACCTTACAATTTAATTTTATGTACATTTACTTTAAATTAACTTTACAAGTTTATATGTATGTTGTAGTTATCGTTCCGGGTTATCAAACCGCGAACGTTACAAAAGACATTTTAGCAAGCAAAACACTGTGCATGAAATTTGTTGAAAGCAGTACACATTTTGCACAGCAACTGAGTTTGTTTCAAGTAAGCAAAGCAGACCAATTCATGAATTTGTTAAAAGCAGCACACATTTTCACAGTAAATGAGACTGTTTTCAGCAGCAGCAGCACAATGAAATATAGCATCAGTTGAATGGCTCGGCGCAAACTGAATCTTGGGACGACAAGGGGAAAAACCAATCGTAATTCTATGGAATGTCATCAAGGACTCTTCAAGCGAGGCTAAATACGCAATCGAAATTACAGCATACAAGGTCAGGCCAATGGGATGCCACGACGAAAATCTTCCAAGTGAAGTCAATTCTCAAGTCAAACCTGAAATGAAATGATAGAGAGAACCCCAACAGCAGACAAAAACTTCTTAAAATTGTTTAGTGTTAAGACACTGACTTTTACAGTTGACGGCTTACTTGGACATTTTAACTTGAGTTATGTACGGAGGTACGGAATTGAAAATAGATAAGAAAACATTCATAGAGGTGAAAGTTATTGTATTCGGGGCTTTGAAATAATTTATCAAACAAAACTCTGATTGGGGGTAGAATAAAATTTATTTAGATACTCTTTTCGCGAAAATTAATATATCCTTTTAATTTCAATAACTTAAGAAACGAATAAAAAGAGGAAGACACAATTCGGAAGGAAAACTCGACAGGAGTTAGTCAAGACTGGAATGGGGGGTGTTGAGGGAAGGAATGATGCCGTTTCCTTCCTAGAAAACATAAAATGATTTTTGAAATAGCCCGTTATTACCGGTTTGTTAAAAGTTAAGATCAATATTTTTTTCACAAAAGAGCTCCCGTATATTTTCCATGTGTAAAAGTAAGCCGTCAACAGTAAAAGTCAGTGTCTTCGCAAAAGTCCAGCTAGATTTTAATTTTTTTTCAAAAATAGCATGTGAGCGCAGTTAGGTACAATTTTCTCCTTTCACCTATAGGTAAGTTTCAATAAAATACAGTGACCAGCCAAAGGAGAAAATTGTACCTCTCTGCGCTCGTATATTTTAAGGGCTTCAAAGAGTGGGGCGGGGTTAAAATGCAATTGGAATTGGATGTAAATATGATACCCCTACCCCAATAAAAGATCTATATCTTTAAAATCACGTTTATATTTTTGTTAAAAATAGTGTTACATAAAGGTACATATATCAGTGATTAGTTACATACAAAAATTAGAGTGAAGTTACAAGTCACCTCATCCTTTATATGTACTCACTGGCTGTAAATGACATGAAATATAATGCTATTTTTACAATCTAACCAAAAAAAGCAAAAATATGCCTTTTCTTAATGTTTTTTCTTATTGGAAACATAGATCGTAGTGTAGAACATACATATCTTTTTCTTTCACTAATGAGTATTGGATAGATACATCTTTGGTAAAAATAAAAAGGTTGTTCAAGTCTGCTCTCAATAATTTCTTGAAAATAAGCAGTTTTATACAAAATATGTTAAAATGGCGGGAAAACGTGAATTTTATGATGTTTAATTTCTAGCGTAACAGCATTTTGATCAAATTGAAAATGACCAATAATAGTCGCATGAATATTGGTGTACAAATTAAAGCTATAAATAAAGTAAAATTAAGATGTTCATTTTAAAGGGCCATTTGAGACACTTATTATATATTGCTCCAAAAGAAAGATGACAAGCACAAGACTACACCTGTGAAAAATGAAAGTCATAGTCCCATCCAGTCAAAAGTTATAGGCAAGGTCCTGTAACAAGACCTCACATTGAATACAAAAAACTTTTACCCTTTGACCTTGAACTTTGCGTTTGACCTATTTAAAAAAATTGACCTTGTCAATAACTTTTGAACGGATGGTGCTAGGACTTCCATACTTTACAGATGTAATCCTAGTGACGAGACCTTTTATTGGATACCAACAGCTTTGACCCTTAAAGTTTCAATTTTGACATACTTTTAATAAACATTACCCTTGGCAATAACTTTTGAACAAATAGGGCTATAGCTTTTATACTTCCAATATGTAATTTTTGTGACATGGCCTTTCTTTAGAAACCAACAACATTGACTTTTTGACCTTGACCCCGGGTTTTGAAATACCTTTAAAAAACTTTAACCTTGGCCATAACCTTTGAACAGGTGGTCCTAATATTTTTTATTTTACCTTTGTATTTTAAACGTATACATACTTTTAAAAATGACATGTATCATACCTTTCCTTTGTAATGCATTTGTTTTTATCAATCTACCGTGAACGGTTGGCTAGATATTGTAAGATTTGTTTAAAAAAGCGATAATTCAATCTTTTACCATGTATATGTATATACAATATCAAAATTAGAAACACATTTAATCGAATGATGCATGTAAGAAGACTATCAATTCTCTGATTTAACTTTTTTTTTAAATACCGTAGCACCAAAAAGGCATAGTAAGCCACAAAAGCAAGGAGCTTATTCAGATTACTTGCGTTTATTTGTTTTTTAATTTAAAGAATTAAATACATTTTACCTTGAAAATTTAAACGTTGAATTTTCTTTCAGAATCAAATTGAAACTAATATCATCAGATTTTATGGCAAAATTATAACATTATAGAAATGTCGATGTACAAGCAGGCTGTGCGCAAGTTTAATCATGCGGATTTCTTCTCTTCATATTCTCTATTTCCTTCACTAACTCCTCAACAAAAGCTGTGTTTTCATAACCAGTCTTTAAATTGTTGACACATTTTATCCTGCCATGGCATTGTTCCTTTAATGCTAGCATAGAATCAGGGAACGTATTGATAAAATCATGTAGAGAAATGCAGTTTCGTTGTAGTTCATCCTCCCTTGTGAAAACTATAAACATATTATCGAAAATATTATCACCAAAAATATAAGGAACATTTTGCAAGTCCTTCTCCAGGTCAACCGAAAATCTGGATAGGTCCAAAACTAGAAGGACGGCGTCGGATCTAAAATCAGGAATCAAACTAGTTCTTCGGACTCCTTTTGTCAAATTAGAAAATCCAGGAGTGTCCAAGACAACGATGTTTCTTCCAAATCTGTTCGAAGCTCCTTCCTTACAATGAAATGTTATTCCACTGCTTGATATTCCTGTTTTAAAGCATAGTTTATTCAAAATAGTATTTCCTGTGCTGCTTTTACCACTGCTTGTTGGTCCAATAATTAAAAGTTTTATTTTGTTGAGCTCTACAAACAACAAATTGGCTATACCATTGTGATTCAATACATTAGAAAATTAGTGATGTTTCGATGCTGAGAAAACAAATACAAATTAAAATTAACTAAAGAAGTTGCATATTTACCTTTTTGATTTGAGCATATCATTTATAAATTATTATTTGACCAGTTCCGAATAAGAAAAAGATTCGGCGGTGCTAAAGATAGGCATTATTTCAAAATATATTTTTTGTAAAGGTAGATCATTGACTTGTGGAATTAAATATTCTTTCATGAAATTTCAGCCTTTCCTCCCAAAAATTATACCGCAATTTAACATATGTGTCCATTTAACCAGTTACAAATAAACCGACGAGTTCCGAATACCCTAGCGGTACCCATTCAATTCAACCCTAAATTAAAAAAAAAATTATACGCCCCACACATAATCTTTTGGCATGTCTAAGTTAAATTAATTGCTTACCAATAAGTTATGGATGGTTAATATTTTTTACCTAATCTCATTACAAATGTTATAAATGATGTAATAAGAAATATCTGGAATATAAAGAAATTGCAAACCTTCTGTGATGTTCAAAATTCTACTCTTCTGAAACCATCCTTATTATTCGTTAAAAATATTTTCACATCAAACAATCCTTTAAAAAGCATTTATCTGCATTTAACAAGAGGCCCATGGGCCACATCGCTCACCTGAGTAACTTGGGTGATGAAGTTCTTTACCAGATTTCCCCTCTTGCTATACTTATCGTGCCCCCATACCCCCTCCCCTTTCATGATTTTAGTACTTTAGTATCTACACTACCCCAGGATGCTTCCACATAAGTTTCAGCTTTCCTGGCCCAGTGGTTTTTGAGAAAAAGATTCTTAAAAGACTTCCTAAATATATCTATGTAAAACCTGGATTCCCTATTGTGGCCATGTCCTACCCCCGGGGGTCATGATTTTAACAATTTAATAACTACTCAACCCCAGGATGCTTCAACATAAGTTTAAGCTTACCTGGCCCAGTGGTTCTTGAGAAGAAGATTTTTAAAGATTTGTTCTATATATTTCTATGTAAAACTTATATTCCCTATTGTGGCCCCGCCCTTCCCCCAGGGGTCATGATTTTAACAATTTAATATGTACTCTACCCCAGGATGCTTTCACATAAGCTTAAGCTTTCCTGGCCCAGTGGTTTTTGAGAAAAAGATTCTTAAAAGACTTCCTAAATATATTTATGTAAAACCTGGATTCCCTATTGTGGCCCTGCCCTACCCCCGGGCGTCATGATTTTAACAATTTAATAACTACTCAACCCCAGGATGCTTCAACATAAGTTTAAGCTTTCCTGGCCCAGTGGTTCTTGAGAAGAAGATTTTTAAAGATTTGTTCTATATATTTCTATGTAAAACTTATATTCCCTATTGTGGCCCCGCCCTACCCCCAGGGGTCATGATTTTAACAATTTAATATGTACTCTACCCCAGGATGCTTTCACATAAGCTTAAGCTTTCCTGGCCCAGTGGTTTTTGAGAAAAAGATTCTTAAAAGACTTCCTAAATATATTTATGTAAAACCTGGATTCCCTATTGTGGCCCTGCCCTACCCCCGGGCGTCATGATTTTAACAATTTAATAACTACTCAACCCCAGGATGCTTCAACATAAGTTTAAGCTTACCTGGCCCAGTGGTTCTTGAGAAGAAGATTTTTAAAGATTTGTTCTATATATTTCTATGTAAAACTTATATTCCCTATTGTGGCCCCGCCCTACCCCCAGGGGTCATGATTTTAACAATTTAATATGTACTCTACCCCAGGATGCTTTCACATAAGCTTAAGCTTTCCTGGCCCAGTGGTTTTTGAGAAAAAGATTCTTAAAAGACTTCCTAAATATATTTATGTAAAACCTGGATTCCCTATTGTGGCCCTGCCCTACCCCCGGGCGTCATGATTTTAACAATTTAATAACTACTCAACCCCAGGATGCTTCAACATAAGTTTAAGCTTTCCTGGCCCAGTGGTTCTTGAGAAGAAGATTTTTAAAGATTTGTTCTATATATTTCTATGTAAAACTTATATTCCCTATTGTGGCCCCGCCCTACCCCCAGGGGTCATGATTTTAACAATTTAATAACTACACTACCCCAGGATGCTTTCACATAAGTTTAAGCTTTCCTGGCCCAGTGGTTTTTGAGAAAAAGATTCTTAAAAGATTTTTCCTAAATATATCTATGTAAAACTTGTATTCCCTATTGTGGCCCTGCCCTACCCCCGGGGGTCATGATTTTTACAATTTAATATGTACTCTACCCCAGGATGCTTCCACATAAGTTTCAGCATTCCTGGCCCAGTGGTTCTTAAGAAGAAGATTTTCTAAAGATTTGTTCTATACATTTCTATGTAAAACTTGGATTCCCTATAGTGGCCCCGCCCTACCCCTGTGGGTCATGATTTTAACAATTTAATAACTACACTACCCCAGGATGCTTCCACATAAGTTTCAGCTTTCCAGGCCAATTGGTTCTTGAGAAGAAGATTTTTTAATGACCCCACCCTATTTTTGTCTTTTCTTGATTATCTCCCCTTGTAAGGGGACTTGGCCCTTCATTTTAACAATTTAAACTCCCCTTCACCTAAGAATGCTTTGTACCAAGTTTGGTTAAAATTGGCCCATTGGTTCTTGAGAAGAAGTCGAAAATGTGAAAAGTTTACGGACGGACAGACGTACGGACGGACGGACGACGGACAAAATGTGATCAGAAAAGCTCACTTGAGCCTTCGGCTCAGCTGAGCTAAAAAGATTGTTTTATGTGAAAAATTGGTGTCTCTGCAGAGATTTTTCTGCACACTTACGCGTCGGGGTGATTAAGATGTGATGCATTGTTAAAGTATGTTGACTCTTTCAAGTACGCTAACGAAACCGAATCGAACTAACGGCAAAGAATCAAAACTTCGCATAATTCAAACACAAACAAATAAGCCTTCTTACCATAGGTATCAATTTATTTTTACACCTTTGAATTTATTAATCATCAGCTCTTAAATTAATAATTATTCGGAACTGGTCAAAATTCGGAACTGGCCAAACCACTGTATATGTATTTCGCAAATTATCAGAACATTTTTTTTTTTAAAAATCCTATATTGAAGGTAAGCTGTTTACTTAACAGACATTTTCCTTATCCAAACATGCATTGCACTCATAATAGTCCAGTCAATATAAAAAGGTAAATATGCAATATCTGGCCATGAGTTTAAAAAAATTTAACACTCTGATTACCAACTTAAGTTTTTTAAGTATAGGAAAGAACTGTAGTTGATAGTACTGATAGGTGCATAAACTGGAAATTCAGTTCATTGAAACTTGAAGCAAAGAAACATCGGGTGTGTTATGGAATAGAATATTTCCTCTGTCACACATGCTATATGCTGATTATTCAGCAAACGGAAAATCTGAAGGCAATTCAGTGTGAAAAATGACCAAAAATTTGTAGGTCAACAATTCTCATCAACAACCGACTTGACAATGGATTGTATTTTTTATATAATTTATGTGTCATAGAATTTGCAAAATGGTGACTTTAAGCGATTTCCTTGTTTCATCAAATATTTGTAAATATGTTATGGTTGCAGCAGATATACCAAGCTTACAACAATATCGCCGTTTTTTAGAGCTCATAACGACAACAGTATCTACTACAATATTCAATTATAATACCTGAAGGTAGCGTAGCATTCATCTCTTGTCTATAGATACATCGGCGTAATCTGTTTATTCTTTTTCTTCTTTTTTTGATGAACCACATCAACAAAGCTGAATTAAACAAGAATAAACATAAAAAAGAACTACTTAAAAAGTTAAGAGTTTAAATGTATCGACCTCATAAGTCACATGGGTAATCACACCAGACCTAGGGGCCTTGAAAACAATTTTGGAAGAGGCACCCCTCCTTTTTCATAACTATGTACTTTGTTAATTAATTTAATGCCCAAAAGCACAAGAAAAGACTATAATATATTATAATCATTGAAGCCTCAAAATCCCTCATCCAGTGGTTATGAAATTCATAATTTTGGAAGAGGCATCCTTCCTCATTATAAGTTCTAGTATGCACATTGTTTAAGTACCCTAGAGCAGAGATTTTAAAAGAATGCATCTTCACTATATTATCATATTAGAGTCCCACTCTAACATCAGAACTCCTACACATGTAATCCAGGGGCCCTGATATTCATAGTTTTGGGTGGGGCACCTTTCTTTACAAAACTATGTATATAGTGCATTGGCTATATCCAGGAGCAGAGGAGAAGCTCTTCAAAGAAGTAATGCACTTTCACTATATGATCTATTTAGTTCCACCCAAACCTCACAGCCGCTGACCCAGGGAGAAGACTCAATGCCTATTACAATCATGCCAACATTTTGACTGCTTGATATCCAGGAGAAACGATTTTTAAAGATTGCATTAATTAGTGGTTTTGGCCCCACCCCTCAGGCCCAAAGGGGGCAGGGACCATGAAAATCACAAATTTTGTGTCCCTTCACTTCACTCTTAGATGTCATATGCTGAAATGGCTCAGCAGTTTTAGAGAAGAAGTATTCAAATGTTAACACACGACGGACGTCAGACGACAAACGAAAACAGATGGCAATAGATCACCTGAATGACTCAGGTGACCTAATGATCGAGTATGTTTTAGTATATTTTCCTTCTTACAAGCACAATTGTGTGTGTAGATCACTGAAGACCTTCTAGATCTTCTGTAATTATAACAACGGGATATTTGCTTGAAAATTTGTTGATTCAAAAGTATGACGGCTTTATCAAGTTTGAAAATTTTTACTTTAAACCGTTTACTGAGTGCTTATTATATCATACTCTTTAAGCAAAAGGTTTATCCATTTTTCATAGCTTCATAATGCTGAACCATTTCATAAAGATGTTTGCGTATTTATTAAGAAAATGAATATGTACTTCTGTTGTTCTAAAAAAATATTTCACGTATTGTTTGAATTTGGGTACTATCTTTATTAAATTTGGAAATGCTACATCAACTGTATTGTCATTGTAAATTATTTTGTATTGTATGGTATATATCCGTAAATTATTTATCTTATCAATTGGTACAACGTGTATATATTACTTTATATTTAGATTTGAATTCCATTTGTATTTTCTTATAAAAGTTTTGAAAAGCTACTGCATCAAAAACATCAAAACAGCAATTGGAGGTAATAATTATTTAAAAGTGTTATCCCATTAATTAGAGATATCACTTTCTGAGGAATTTGTTCCAGGCAGTTTAATGATATGGTCAATAAACTTTTGTCAGATTTTATTAACAAGGGCTATTTTTTAGTGTACGTATTAAAATCTTATCTATTGTACAGATGTCAATCTCCTGTATTTTCATTAATTACTTATAGTAGTTAACCTGACATATTTATACCCAGGTCTTTAAAACTATGAAAATTGTTATATTTTTATTACATAACATACGTCTTTTAAATGTTTTAGATATGTAAAATGCAGAATTTTTATAATCAATTAATAGATATTTTGTTTCATTACAAATATTGTCAAGAACAACAATAGAAAGACAACTCTAGAAGACGGATGACTTTTATTTTTTAAGCACAGAGAGCAATTCAATATTCCGATTTTAAGTGGACTTAATGTTTCTAATTAAAATTAGATAGGTATGATAGTAACTATGATTTTCTAGATATCTCACATTTTCAATTTTATTGTAAGATAAAAAAATCACTGATCTTTCTACTTATTACCTATATCAAATTTTCTTCACAACTTGATTAAAGATAATATAAATATCTAAAAGAAGTAATGAGCGCTTCTACTTCAAACTATTGAATCCAACACTATTGTAAATTTGGAGCAGAGAGATATTTCACCTTAAAGCAATAGTTTGTATTTGTTTGAATTTTTTTTATAACTACTAATTAATTTATTAACGCAGCTGTTAGTGTTCTAGCAGAGTGTACGTCCTTAATTTGCATTCAATACTTTTAAAATACTGATACATACAGATTAAAGCTTACATTACATCATAACCTAACAAAGTTTGATTTATACTCCAATTAGTCAATGTATCTGGGATCATATTAGACCCTTAATGAATCCATGACAAAACCCAATGGAGTCCAAAAGTTGAGTCATTAAGGAAAACTTTCTGGGTTCTGGAAATTTGAAAAAACAGAATTTCAACTCCAAAACGTTTGAGAATATAGATTGCATTACAGATTAATAAGATAAATACATTGCAATTTATGTGACCACCCTCTTCTTTCGAAGATGGTTAGAATTTAGAAGAACAATTAAGTTCCTTCCAAAGTCATACTAGTCAGTATAATTTGGATAGCCTTTAAATATAGTATTTATAATATAATTCTCAATCATTTTGAAATGAAATTAAACACTTTCTCCTTTAAAAAAACCTTCAAATTGAGCATTTTTGAAAGTATTATCGAGTGGATTATTACTATTCTGACGTAAGAACTACAACGATATGAACTGTATCATCTATAACCAAATGACAAGTTTCGACCAAAATCAATGATTAGTATTAATAAGGAGTATTAATTACTCACCAACTAGAAGTACTATGCAAATCAGAGGTGTTATAATCAGATAAATTGGAAAATATTCATCTTTTGTTGCTCGCACTTCGGGATAAATTTTCCTGGTAAAGAAAAAGAATAGAAAATAAAACAAGGACACCGCAAAGCGGAGCATCCCCTTGCAAAGAGTATATCCTTTAATCAAAACAGATTTAACGTCGATTTAGAATGCAAATAACGCCACATTCCCTTTGCACAGCCTCCTTTCTAATAGCATTAGCTAACTGAGCCACACACATGAATAATTTACAATATCCACCCCAACTCCTTTGCAAGGGGATAAAAAGCAACCAATCAAAACAGGCAAATGCCATTCAATGTAATCCAAAATTTTCACCAAATATTATAGCGAAAGGTGAAATATCAGGAATATTTATGCACTACCAAAGTGTATCTTTCGATTTAGCAAAATATATATATAATGTGAATGTGTGCAGAACAGAAAGAAGTAACATGCTCCGTGAAGCTTGAATTATCTGAAATGCATTATTCTCTCTTTCTCAAAAGGAATACATGTGTAAAGATTCAAAGCCCTAGTGTCTACCATTCAAAAGTTATGGCCAAAGTTAAAGCTCGCAATTTTTGTGTAAAAAGTCCAAGGTAAAGGTCAAAAGGTCAAATTTTGTTGGTACAAAGAGAAAGGTCTTGTCACAAAAAATACACATATGAAATATGAAAGTCTAGCTCCACTTAATCAAATAAATGGGCAAAGTTAAAGTTTTTTTCGCACTAACAGACATAAAGATACAGACAGGTAGCCAGACAGATGCACGACAAAAAATACCCCTGAATCTGCGATGTCGGGGTATTTAAACAATCTATCAATATGTTTGTATTTTTGCTGTCGTCCTTCGTACCATCAGTACGCCGTTGATAGTGTACATGATTTGACTACGGAATGCTCTATCTAACTGATCAGTACAGAGGGTTGACGGCGGGTGTGAACGACAATAGGGGGATACTTATCCCTCTTATATACCTGATTCCAGGTTTGGAATTTCCGGAGGTCCTTCTTTTAGGCCTTACTTATAATTTGCTTGATTGTGAATTTTGAAATCGATCAATCTTTGATATATAAAAATGTTTATGCCTCCGGCTCAAACGATCTCAGGCGTATATTGTTTTTGTATTGTCTGTCTGTTTGTCTGTCTGTTGTTAACTTTAACCTAGCCCATAACGTTTGAGTAGGAAAGGCTCTGGCCTTCACTTTTACAAGTGTATTCCTTGTGACACGACCATTTTTGAGTTCTACAAAATTTTACCTGGTGAACTTGACCTTGGAGTTTGACCCACTTTTACCAAATGTTTTTAACATGAACAATGGCAATAACTTCTGAATAGGTGGTGCTAGGTCTCTCCTACTTTAAATGTATAATCAGCGTGACGAAAATAGCGGAAAATCCGTCGTCAATTCAGAGTATAAATAATGGACTAACAATTTGTATGAAAAACGTCAGTCATCATTTTACTCAATGATAAGTTGTATATGCTGACATTGTCATTGTATCGACTATAGCACTTACAAAATGATGACATTTAACGAGACTGCTGATAATCTTGCTTCATCAACTTGCTTGACAATAATTTAACTCGTTTTAGAAATTGTTTATACTTAGAGCATGCTCTAGCGTATCGAATCAACTGAGATATATACATTCCGTATGCAAGTGATGAAGGTATATTGCTGCATAAATAAGGGAAGTTGACGACCAACTCTTAAACCATAAATATGGTGTGCAAAGTTACATGTATAATGAAAGTGCACTTTTAAAACTTTGTGAAAAAGAATTTAAAAAAAGACAAAATTACACCCCCTGAAAATGTCCAAATAACGATTTCAATTGAAATTCTGGTTGGATAATTTAAATGTAGTTTTTTCCCCATTGATAATAAATTCTCAAAGTAAAAATGGAACTCGAGTCTTTAAGACAAGGACTGTAGAAGTAGCACAGTCTATATTAAATATGTTTTCGCAGGAGGTTCATACATTTTTTATTTTTACATCTCATATTTCGTGACAGTGACAAAGTACAGCAAAATAAACACTTACCTTTTTTCATTTAAGCACTCTGGATCTGTTGAACATGAAACAAAGCAAGTGGAATTAGTGAAAAATTAAATCATGATATTTGGATTAAAGACATTTTTCTAAAACAAAACACACTTACATAAGTAAACATCATTAGATTGGTATGATGAGTTAGGACAGAGGGAATTCGAGAGGCACGATTTGAAGCTGATTTCCTTTTCCTTTCCAAACACAGGACAATTCCCTATAAAACAAAATTGATACTAAAAGGAAAAAAAAAACAAAAGGTTACACTATTTATGAACTATTACATTTTGTGCAAAATGCAACAACGCAGAATGTTATAACACACTTTTTGATCAGTCAGGTTGAAAATAATTTTCAACTGAGTAGTGGATGAAGAAAATAAAATGAAAAAGAACTTCCCAAAGCGTTTAGCACTTTGAAATGAAAGTTTTTGAATTTAACATATTTTATTTTGTAAACAAATACATAAATGGATTGAGCAGCAGGCATAGCCTATAAGTTCTCTCCAGAAAAAATGAAATTTGGGGGTCTTAAAAGGGAGGTCACGTCTCACGGCAGGTGTTGGTACGATAAACATTTCACTGCCAAATGAACCTGCATGCATGCTGAGTAAAGGTCTAAATTTGAAGCCCTTCACCGGTATATGGTGACGTCTCTGTGAGAGTGTAAATTCCCGAACATGACGAAATACACATGCTGTTAACTTTCAACAGCGGTTTCTTATTGAAAGGGTTGAATAATATTCCTGTTTTATGAATAAACACTATGACAAACCCTTCATGTAGGAAAAGGAAGATAAAGGCTGTGACTGATGCGCTATGGAGACATTGAAGATCATGAGATTTTTTTAAAATTAACTTTTTTTTGGGGGGGGGATTGTACTGTCATATGAGTTTCAATAAGGCATGAATTACAGGGCAAAAATCAAATGGAATTATTTCGATTACATTTCTTTGTTCTTTGATTTAAAATTTCAAAATTAAGTGAATGGTAATACAAGAAGACAGCAAATAAAAGGTGTACTGTAGAGTGTTTACCAATACCCCACACAGAGGTCAACTTAAATAAAGTAGGCTTAGTGGAAGAGAGTCCTAAAACAGTGGAAAGACACGATAACATTTTGTAGATAAGGTGCCTACAGGCATTCAAAAGCTAGCTGAAGAAGTTAGGGGTTTAATTAAAAAATAAAAAGAAGTATGTTGACGTTATATTGCTGCATAAGTAAGAGAGGTCGACAATAGAAAAGTTAAAGTCATACATTTATCATAGAGTTTGGTCGTTAGATTACCATTAACTTCTTTTTCAAGTAAAATATCCAAGTATGAAACAGATGTGTCACACTCTGTGGTATATTTTATCTCAAGCTCATCTGGATATATCGTATCGACATTAGAATGGAAATAACCAGTGTTAATTGACAGCACGTCGTCGTTGATGTATCTAAATGTCGAGTTGAAGGACGAAGCAAGTATTTTCTTCTTTTCACGCATAAAAGTTTGCACCAATTCTGATTCATATGATTATTAAATTATGTACGCTAATGACGTGACGCAATTGGTACCCATGGGAATTCAAATAGATTGTTGGAAGACCTGATCTCCAAAAACGGCATAAATATTGAAAATCAGAAACTCAATCATCTTATTGAGTATTTGTGTGCACAATTATAATAATTTTGCAAATGACCAATGACAAGGTAAGTACATTTACGAATTTCATTTTAATTTAAATAAAGCAGGTATCACTGATATAAAAAATTTATTGTAGGGAACGTATGTGTAAAAAATTTAAAAGTCGTAAGTTTTTAAGCTGTTAATTATGGTAAAATCTTGCAATTTCAAATTGCCCAAAAATTCTTTGGAATTTTTAAATATCCACATCTGATTTACACCACTTCTTGAATATATTGTTGCATAGTAGTCTTGATGTTTCATACGTAGCTAAGAATGCGATTTATAAAATAAAATACTTAATAACATTCACAGAATCAATGGTTTTTCATCGGCATCATATGAGTGAAAAATTCTCGAGAGGGACATCAAACAACATAAACAAGCAAACATAAATCTAATGAAAAATATCTGAATAAATGAAAGAATTACGCATGAATTATAATCAAAGTAATTTACTTATACCCTGCATAATAAGTGTCGATTTCGAGCAGCCTTCCGTGAGATTTTTCCCATCCTCTGTTGCAAGGCAGTGATACGTCAACATGTTCCCGCTGCAGTTGCACGAAAATTGGCCTACTGATATTTCCCAGCTTGTACGATTTAATGGGCATTTACTCACATGATTAAATGAACAGTTCAAGTCTCGATTCCAACCGACGACTTGCATTCTTAGAGGAAAATCTGAAAGCGATAAATACATTTAAAAACTCTCTAGAATACATTAAACATATTTAAGGAAAAAAGCTATAAACAAGGAGAAGAGCGAAAGTATTGGAATAAAGTTACTTTGATTTAAAAATGTATTAAGAAAAGAAAAGTCATCTGAAAAACTTTGGACACATTAGATATACGTAGGTCCTTTTAGAATTAAAGAGAATTAGCTGTCCAAATGATAAACCTCTTCCTTTTATGATTCTTGTTCAGTGATATCTTTCTTTATGTTTGTGTCCATACATTGTATATCGTTTTAACGAAAGAATAAACTATTGAATAGCTTTGTTGATGTTTCTTTACCTTAGTTATCGTTCTTGTGCTAAGTCATCTGAGTAAAAAAGTTCCTTATATTGAACTTAGATTTGTTTCCAAGAGATACCGGTATTTTAGAAATGCCAAATCAGAAAAAAGACACACAATTTTCTGTGTTTATAGAATACATATTTTTGTAGATCTTTTCAGTGTCTTAAGATAAGTCGTAGGACTCCAATTGTCATAATAAAATGTCACAATAATGATATTGTATCTACAATTCCGAAATGCCTCTGTCTATATATATATATATTTTTTTTTTATAAAAAAATAAACAAAAATACAACATTAAAAATTAAAAATGAAATACTATGTACTCACCAATATTCAAAACGAAAGGATATTTCAGTGGAAAACCCGAATCCAGTATGATCCCACATTTAAAGTGCGTATTTGCTTTAGCTTTGTTCAACCCAGCGCCTCAATTGATTGATAAATTTGTATAAGGGAAAAGGGTTTTGGAAAATCAAACTCATCCTGGTAAAAATAAAACGTGCTTACATGTATTCCATTACATTGTTAATGCAAGGATTAATAAGAAAAGGTTTGTTGTTTAGGCAATGGTACTTTTTTTAAAATTAATATTTTGAATTCTCTTAAAATAATGGTCTAAATAAAAGCTTTCGCTATAATGTATTTGTGATTTATTCACATTTGCGTTCGGGATAACAGGGGTGCAAATAGTTGGAAATATCTGGCGTTCTTTCTGTATTTTTTTTACAAGTTTGATATTAATATCTTAAGTGGCAAGAACACATCAAAACCGGTGTAACGACGAAAAGTTGCCCCCATAGAATATTGACCCAGGGGCATTTTCTACGTAAAAAAATGACACTGGGACAATATTCTAAGACAAATGGGGTCATTTATCAACCGTAATAAATTCTTTCAGACATGTTGAGAAATGACATCAATAGAAAATTGACCCTCTACTTTTTAAAACCTTATGAAAAGAGATGTGCTAATCATTAACTCCGGGTTTTGATCGGCGAAAGCATGGGGAGCGATAATGTTCTATTATACTCCTTCCAAAAATATATTTAATTCAATCAATCAATTAAATGAAATTTGAGAAAAAAAGTAAAGCACTAGTACATTCCCCTTAGGCCTCCCTAAATATCACTCCTTAATAATAGCATCATGATCAATTTTTTTTGTATTTTCTATCATTTATTTATTTATCATTTTTTGCTTGCAGCATCTCAATGAATAGATATTATTCAGGAGTATATGTCTATATAATATATGTTTTTACGTTGTTTCCACAAAGTAGCAATTGATTTCAATATGTCTTATTTGCTGGTTTTGCAAGGTCCTAAGGATGCATATTTGCCGGTCTTGAATGTTCATGCTTTTCCTCAAGAAAGGAACATTAATTAACCCTTATTTACCAATTGAGTTGTACTACTATAGTAACCATAAAAGTAATTTATAGAACAAAATTGAAATTACACCTATGCACTTAAGGTCAAACATATTCTTTGTTTTTCTTAAATTGTTGAATGAGTTTGATCATGTAACACCTACAATAAGGGAATAAGCGTTATTCAACATATTTCAGCATTCTAATTGTATTCCAAATATACCCTTGGTTGCCATTTAAAGACATATTCCAAACAATTTCTTTACAGCATAAGTGGCAACAAAGTATCATGTTTTTGTCAAAATGGATTGTTTGCTTTTTCCATTTTTTTTTAAAATTAAGTTTCAAGGAAGATTTAAAGTAGCTGAAAATCTCAATTTTCAAACTTTCTCGGTTGTTACCATTGCAACCAAGACACATTGCAAAACATTTTTTGAAATATATTTCTGATGTCAAGTGCTAAGAATGGGTATAGATTAATCCAAAATCGGTGACCATGCATGGCAGAATTTTAAGTGCTTACAGATGATGGCTATGAAATAATTTGCTTACTTGACAAAACGACTTTGGGGGAAGCTAAATTAAATATTTCATAATGTTAATCATTGTTTTCAGAAAACGAGTATGGCTTCTGAATGTCCTGAATCTGCGAAAACTTGGGAATACGTAAACGAGTGTCCATTGGATATATCTGGGTGGAATAAGAGAGCCCATATAAAACAGTGCTCTAAAATAACAAACGGGACTTGTAATTATGGAAGACAACTTGTGTACCATTGCTTGCCAAACGGGTTCAGAAACAAACTTATAGAAGTTTGTGCTCCTGCAACGTTCATACCAAGAGGTAAAAATTGTACATATTTACACTTGATTATACTTTTTTAGATCAAAATCTATCTAAGGTTTCAAAAATGTTCCTCTTTTTTATAATTATCTTTATATAGTAATTTTGATGCCATTTTGATACAAAAATCACCTTTTTCAGTGTAATTAAAAAAAATAACTGATACTTTTGACCTAAGTCAACTCTGCAGATTTATATGCAACTTTTTCACAATAACTCAATTTCCACTTGTTTTAGTTTTTTTATTATTAAATCGTAGAAATGAATTAAATATAAAAAGAGAAGGGATAAAGAAAACCATGACACAATGACAAATTAGAAAGCTCACTCCTCTCGGAAGGTAATGCAATAAAGCATTATTAACACAGTTCCAACTTGACCCAATCCTATTCAGGAAGTCAAAATTGCTTTTGAAAAGGAATTGTATAATATCCTTTGAAATAAAGAGAATAATTTAAAAAATTGAAATATTTCAAGAATTCCAATATAGAGGTCTTAATATGATAGATTATAATAAAGATTTTGCTAATATAATTGAAGGCATGTTGGATAAGACGACTTTAATACCTTCAAAAGTTAAATGGGTCGGTTTATTTGAAGCAGATTGAATTGAAAACAAGTATAAATCATCTTTGGGTGTTTGGAATAGATTATATTAAGAATTTAGGCAATACCTTAATTGTGAAATTTTTTTCTAGCTAGTAAAAAGAGTATCAGAATGAAGCAATGAATGGTTCAAAACTTCAGCGAGAGCATGCTTGGTACAAACCAAAGGTCACCACTGGTTACCGGTCAATTCTTATTTAAAGTTATTTTAGTTCTGGTTTTGTCTTTATTAATGATTTACTTAATCCAAATGGTAATATCTATCATTTTAGTCTGACACATCTGTTTCATATCTGCATATTTTACTTAAAAAGACATTATAGGTAATCTATCAACCAAGCTCTATGATAAACATGATAACTTTAACTTTAATTTTCTATTTTCAAATTCCCTTACTTAATATACCTTCATCTCCTGCCTACAGATTTTATGCATCTCAATTGATTTGATACGCAAGAGCGTGTTCCATTTATAAACAATATATAAAATGATGTAAATTATTGACAATTCTACCACGGTTATTGCCGAGATCAAAGAAATGACGACGACATTATTCTCCGATAAATCAGAACGTTAATAAAAAAATCAGCAGATCAGATACACATATCAAATTGAACAATTCAAATACATGTTTGGCTGTAGAATGAAAAACGTGATTAGACCACATCGATATATCGTCTTTTGCAGTAAAACACTGTAAATTGCATAAACGGGGCTATTCCACGGACCTTCCTTCACACTCAAACAACATGATTTTATTTACAATAAAGCAGTAAAATAGGAACATGATTTTGTTATTGTATATTCATTCGAATTAATCAATGCATATTACGAACAAATTTGTAATTTCAAAAGGCCATTTTTAATGCAACGAAAGATCAAATCACCTGCGTTCCATACACAGGTAAGCAAACAAGTTTTCCATCTGGTGTTAAATAGAACAGCGTAATCGAGACATGGTGACCTAATTCGTTTCTCTATAGTAGAAACGATCAGCCGTATTTTATCGATCTTTGTAGAATAGAAATAAAGTCCTTATTCAGGTCTGGACGATTTCTAAATAAGGAAGTCAAGAACGATAACCGGGAATTGCTATTAATACACAGAATAAACAAGGCACCAATCCTTCTGACCAATCAGATAACAGCATTTAGACAAACCCATGAGAGAATAAATAAAACACGTGGTTTCTAAGTTTTTTGCCCAAAAGATTTTTTTAAAACAAACTTTTTGTAAACTTTATGTGCATTTGGGAATAATATAATATTTATGAGAATTCTACCGTGAACAAACACGACTTGAAAGCTTGGAATACGTTTTAAGTGGGATAAAAAAATCTGTCTCTAGGAGTTAACAATCCCAAAAGTTTACTTACGTTAAAAAATTGATATAAATACGGTAAATTTTCAGTTTTTAGAGCCTGACATAAAAATCTTCTCGAAAAGATAACATTCTTTATTATTTTGAGTGTTTGTTACAGAATACTAGTAGTCTGATATGCGAGGTAAGATAATGGGATAAAACCCATTCATGTATAATTACAGAATTCCCTTTTCTCCACGTTATACGCCTTTCCTTATGCCCATTTAAAGTCTGCATAGCTAAGTATTCGGCGCTCATGAAACCCGTGATAATGCAAAACTATATGTGTATACTCCATACGATAAACACTTACAGTGTGAGTTGATCTATACGCATGGAATTTAAGCATCATCGATGAAAATCGGACGGCTAAGCAAAATTATATTTACAATCATATAATATATTCTGGTAAATGTTATATCTGAACTCGATAAAAACTTGCTGGTGCGATCTTTTCCTCTGTAAACGATTACATTCTATTGTGCATTATTTTTTTTTCTTTACCGAGATAAAAATGTCAAGGTTGTTCACGGTAAAAATGTGGGGAATACCTTATTCTTCAAAAGTTTTCATCTTACTTCTACAGATTTTTTGTTAAAAAAATCTTTTTGAGGAAAAAAACAAAAGCACGTGTTATCTTTTTGTTCTTTTAAAATATGTTTTGGGGTGTGTAAAAATGCTGTTGTCTGATTGGACAGAAAAATAATTACGTGTACTTGATGTACATTTATAGCAACTTTCGGTTATCGTTCTTGACTTCCATATTTAGAAATCGTCCAGACCTGTTATTGTCGTGAATGGTGCAGGATAATCCTCTCGGTCTCGAAAAGTTGTTTGAAATATAAAAACATCGGCTAACGTGTCGGCTTTTATCTTTCAAACAATATTTCTCGACCTCGGAGGTTATCCTGCAACATTCACGAAAACGCGGACTTTATTTCTTAAGCATGTTAATGAAACAAGAATATCAGCCGTCTTGTTTAAAGTCATCATTTTGTAAGTTCTATGGTCAATACAATGATATTGTCATAAAATACAATTTATCATTGAGTCTAAGGCTGAATGACGTTTTTCATACTAATTGTTGGTCCATTATTTATACACTGAATTGATGACAGATTGTCCCGTCATTTCCCAATTTTGACAAGGAGCACACGACTGGTGTAACCAATCGGCAGGGGATGCTCACGCCTCCATGGCACCTAATACCATCTCAGAGGTTCTAAATTCCTCATTTGCTATGCTCCTTTTTGAATTGTTTTATGGACTTTTGATATTGGATTCTGATCTTTATCTCCAATTGTTTCATTCAAAATTCCATCAAAATAAAAACAAACTATATTAAATACACAGGACTATGAACTACTATTAAAAAAAGACTAACAACTGGTATAATAGATCACAGAACAACTCCAATTTTCCGACCATTTATTCCTGCTAGTATTTTGATTTTTCTTAATAGTACAAAAGGGTTTAAATATATGTATAATCTTTCTTTTAAAAATAAAAATTCGTGAAATAACTTATAAAAAGGAAAAAATAAAGAGAGAAATTTTGTTACAATTTCAATTGTTACATAGAATAATTTCTACTAAATGTTATCTAAATAAATCAAAATTAATTGATTCGCCGGTATGTTCCTTCTGATACTGATATTAAAACTGAAATAATCTTGTTGTTAAATCTTTCTATGATCAAAAAGCTTTGGTTAGTATTTGAAAATGATTTCTGAATAAACAAAACCAGTTAGTTTCATTGTTAATAAATCAATCTTATTTGATAAATAAATAATAATTAACAAATATGTATAAAAAAATATTTAATAAACAGGGACCAAAAAATTATGAAAATCTTATAATTATAATTATCAATGTGTTGTTTCAAGTAAGTTAAAACATCCAATAAAAATGATCATCGAGGAATTAAAACATGTAATTATCGACAGAATGATAATTAAAAAAGTTTTTACGAATAACAACTGTAAATTTTTCAGAATTTAAAAGATACTGGAAGGAAATCGCTGAAAAATTGAAATAATTGTTTTTAAAAGTAAAAGTATTTTTTATTTTAAGTACCCTTTTCTCATCCCTCTTTCTCTCTCCCCCTTTCTTCTCTAAATTTCTTTTAAACAAATTCACACATTTTCTTCCTTGTCTTGTATGTAACTGTAATCTGTGATTGTTTGTATTTGGAATTTGTGTGATTGAAGATTAAAAAACAATTGTTCGTGTCGACCATCATTTTAAGGCTTTATATATAACATTTAATCCTCTACGTGATAAAGCAATATAATATTGAAATATATATACGGCGGTGATCAAAAAATTCGCGAACTATATCTATCACAATTTAGATTGAGATTTGGCCCACAAATATCCGTACACAAGTTCTATAAATAGCATATGTTGATTTTGTTTTATTCCTTGTTTGTGACGTCACTACATGAAGATGACATCAATATGTAGATCACTTGTGACAAAAAATGGTTGACTAATTTGCACTCGAGTAACGAACGGATGTAAAGTTGAAGGTATTGCTTGGAAGTTTCTTTCGCAGTTACTTATAATAATTTGAATACACAATTGACTTTTGAAACATAATCCGGTTGAGAAAGCTTTACACTGTGTTTTTTATATAGATACTTGCCCAGAATATAGTATCAAGGGGAAAAGGATCAATGGGATATTCAACTGCTCAATAAATAAGCGACATTCATGTCCCATACAGCAGTATTCTTCCATCAATTTAACAAATTGTAAGTACATGTTTTATGACATGAAGAAATAAAAAAATTCTCCGGTTATTATTTATGACAGATTTATATAGTCCAATATTTTATCTATTTCAGATCCAGATTGTTTAAAAATCAATGTGTAAGTCAATGTGATATTTAAACATCAATTTTAAATGCTTCTTTAATTGACCATTTTCATATATGTATATCAATTTTATAAATTTAGAGAAACTGAATTAATTATTTCCAAATCAACTGAAATTATCTGTGAAAAAGTTATAGCTGAACAACATTCCAACGTTATGTTTTTTTTTTTTTTTTAAAAATTGCATTTTGAATTTCAAAGAAATTAACGCGTATAGTTATTCTTTAAGACTAAAAGTTTAGAGCTTTTCAATCCAATTGCGATCATACCAATTGCGAGTAATCGGTTAAGCCTTTACAAATTGGCATCCCTGATATATTTAATCTTAATGTATTGTATTTATTTCAAAGAAATGAAGAACAATCTGCTTCCACTACTGACATAGGGATAATATTCGGACTTGTATTATTAGTTATCCTCCCTCTGATTATTGTCGGTATATTTTTGTACTGCTGTAAATACAGAAGGTCAAGGGTGCACACCATCCGAAACTGTAAGTAACATTTTCTCTATCTTGATAGAAGAAATAGTGTGATATATTTTAAATATATACACGTTTAATCATTGACAATGGAAGAATGTATAAATAAATACATCTTTTATTTCAGTTTGCATCAAAATTTTATCAGCTTTAAATTTAACATCTGCCCATTGTTTTAATCTAATGAAAGGAAATTTTTCAATTTAAAAAACTTCGAATGGACAGACAAATTTTGAGATGATTGCTTCTTTCTTTCACTTATAGAACACATGGGTTTATTTTAATTATACAAAGTTGTTACCATCTGAAGGAGAAAAACATATTTAATAGAGTTTATTTATGAGGGACCTTCGTAATTGGGAAAGTGCTTAATTTCAATGAAAAGACAATGTAATTAGATTGTTTATAGCTTTTTCAATAATGATAAATATCTTTCATGGAATGATTTGAAGAGGAGATATCATTGTCAATAAAAGTTCTATGATGGTGCACTTACATTGTTTCGAAGATTAAATAAATACAAAAATTATGGAAAAATTCAAATACTAAGTATTAAATTATTGTCAATAGTTCGTGTAGTACACTCGACTGTGACTATGGAATGATACGTTTTATACTGATGACTTATGACGTTTATGACGAGTGGTTGTTACATGACCTAGGCACTTTCCAGATGTCCATGTATTACTCTAGTATACCTGTTCATAATTTGATTTTTTGAAGGATTTGTAGATCGAGCATGTTTATTTTAATCTTTTTTATTTTCTTTTTAAACACACATGTGCAATGAATCAACTGACTTTAAGATTTTTCTTTAGTTAATTTTATTATTGTATTTTGACATTACTCTTACACGTTTTATATTTGTTTTAAATTTCAGTTTTAAGCCAATGTATTCCATGTGGAAATTGCTGTAATCCAGATATCGGTGGTGATTATAATCTTTGTCAGTTACGTAATGGATAGATAACACTATCGAGCTATTTATCTTACTTAAAAAACTTACCACTCTGGACCTCAAAGAAGCATTCATATAAGCAACTTTGCTGTAACTTTGCTGAAAGACAATATGGGATCCTGCCAATTTAGATATCCAATCAATACAATAGACTAATTATATAAAAGTTTTCTTGAAATGATAGATAGAGTCTGACATGTCTGTATCATACTTTGATATTTTACAAGATAAAAGAGATTCATGGAAATCTAACAATAAAGCTTTATGATTAACCTGATAACGTTATCTTTTCCTTCGTCGAATTTCCTTCTTTATACAGAAATATACCCCTATTTCCTTCATATTGATTATATATCTCTAAATTGATTCAATGCGATGTCAGTTATTGAGAAACAGGTTGATGAAACAAGAATACCAACAGCCGTGTTTAAATTCACAATTTCGTAACGTTTATGGTCAATGCATTGACCTTTTCAGCAAGGACAATCTATTATTAAATCAAATATTGTTTAACGTTTTTTAAACTAAGTGTAAGACCATTGTTTGCACACAGAATTGTCCATGGAATTTTTTCGTTTTGTTTTAAACCGATCATGACGTGGAACACCGGTCGGACGGGAATACTCACTCCTTTATGGCACCAGATGGTTAAGAGGTTCGTGCTTGCTGTGCTCCGGCATTGTATCTTTTGAATGGACGTTTGAGCTTAAGCATGCTGTTTCTGTTTCTTGTAGCACATCATCCTGCTGAAGGAAATTGTATTGTACGAAGTAGAAAAGACTTAATCATAGCCCACGAAGATGTGGTGTCTGAAAATGAAATACAAAAGAGTATGCCATTTATACAAAGAGAGCATGAAAAACAGGAGGATAGAGGTTCAGAATCGGGAAAAATATTCGAAGATTTACCTGGTAAGATTCTAAAGGTTTCTACACTTGATAAATGAATATTAATAAAAAGTTCAGTAACAATACCTATTATAATTGATATATTTAAGATTAAATGTTATTCTCATCACAGTGTCTCTACAAGCTTAAAAACAAAAAAACTTCAATGCAAACATTTCAATCAAATCATGTAATCCTTTTGCAAAGTGTTATTTGTAATACGTACATTACTGTTTTATTTTTCCAAAAATAACAATTTGTACACTGTATTCAATTTAGATCCTGTCTTGCTATCATTATTTTATTGGTTTCTTGATAGAGTATTGATATTGTTCATTACTACTTTGGTTAGGAAATATGACTCGTCCTCCTATCAACACAATTTTTTTATAAACAATAAATTAATCAAGTGATTTTTGTTTAATGATGAAACATAAAAAAGAATTAAAACTTTTTTTCAGACTTTGTCGGTGAATCGCTAGATTTTGAATCATTGCAGAATTGCAATGGTATGGACGGGACAGGCGAATCAGTTGGTACAACGACAATTAAATCCGATATTCCAGAAGGTATTGAATAAGAAGACACAATTTTATGTACTGAGTTTTGCATGTCTATGTTTCTTTTTTATCAAAATTATTTAAGTATTTGTTGATATGTAAAAAAAGGAAATATCCACATTTTCATGTTTTATGGAGAGTCTCTCTTGCAACTGGTGCAAGTTGTATGGGAAACAAATTTGTGTGAAAAATGTTATTTGAAATGCTGCTTTTTCATGGCATTATAAGCACTGCATTACGGTTTTTGAAGAAATGTCTTTACTCCATTTAATCATGTTTTTTTTTAAAGTAGAAAGTAAGATAGGAAACAACTCATTGAAATGATAGTTTTATCTTTAACAATTTAGGTTTTTACTACTTAAACATGAATTCTAAAATGTTTTAGTCTGTAAAATCCCCGAGAATGAAGATCTAGAGAAAAACCAAATGACACCTGAAAACACCGAACTGCGCATTTTACTGGTGGGTAAAACTGGAACCGGAAAAAGTTCTACAGGAAATTCTATTTTAGGAAGATATGCATTTGTATCTGAACTATCTTCATCCTCTGTGACGAATGTATGCAAGAAAGAAGAATGCTTCTTAAAAAACAATATACTACAAATCATAGACACCCCCGGTCTCTTTGATACGAAGAAGAAGGATATTACCGACGATCTCGCTGAAATGAAAATATTGTGTAGTCCCGGTCCGCATGCGATAGTCATAGTTTTGAAAGCAACAGCAATTGAAAAATCTGATATCAGGACTCTGAAGTTGATACAGAAACATTTCGGAGACATGCTCTTGAAGTTTGCAATAGTTCTTTTTACATACAAAGATGAACTAGACAGAAATAATAAGTCGTTAGATTCCTTTCTCTCCGGTCCAGGAGATTATACCAAAGAAGTTAAAAGATTCATTTCAAGATGCAGTAATAGATATCTTGCATTCGATAATACAGTCGGTGGAATTCAGAAGAAATTCGATGAATTGAGTACTGATTTCTCAAGAAATGAAGAACAAGTGATGAAACTTTTAAATTTAATTCCAAATTATAAAACTACAAACACTCCTGACTTTCTCAAACTGAGATAAGTTGCTAGAATCTCAATCTGATATCAGAATATGATATCAGAAATCATTTTCAAGTCAGAATTTTTTCTACATGAGGCTGTAAAATAGTGATGCTTATATGTTTTTAAACACGTGCATTAAATACATTTTTCTTCATTCGGCTACTATTTTGCTTAAACAATGTTTCCAATTCATTTGTAAATAATGAATATTTCATTCAATTTCATTTGCAAAATTTGAATTAACTCACAGAATATAATTTCTTAACAAAACGTCACTTAGTAACATCGTAATTTCATGTTCGGAGATTGACGCCCCCTTATTAGCAGACCTATTTTTATATTCATATGAAGCAGAATTTTTCAAAATGTTTTATGTGAAAAGAAAAAAAACTCGTGCTGCGGCCTTCAACTCCACATTTAGATATATCTACGTCGTATTGTCAATTAATAATAATACCTTCCATACTTATGTTGACACGATATATCCCATGGGCTTGAAATAAAAGACCTTGTCAGCAAATACTTTACAATATATCGTTGTGTCAAATGCTGACTAATGTTTTACTTACTAATTGTTAGTCCATTGTTATCACACTGAATTAATGATGGATTTCTACGTTATTTTCCGAACATGAAAAGGAGCACACGGCGTGTATGACCGGTCGACATAGGATGCACACTCCTCCATTGCACTTGATCCCACCTCTGATGTTTTAGAGGTCCGTCTTTGCTCTGTTTAATTTTTTATTGGTTAATGGACTTTTGAGCCTGATACTATTCGTTATCTCCATACATTTACCATAGAGTCCGTCACATCTGTTTCATATTTGGATATTGTACTAGAAAAGGTAATGGTTATTTAACAGCAAAGCTTTATGATAAACGTGACAACTTTAACTTTTCTATCGTCAACTTCCCCGCAAAATATACCCTTGTCACTTGCATACAGAGTTTTTTTTTTATCTAGATCTCTCAGTTGATTTGGTACGAAAGAGCATATTATGTTCAATGTATGAACAATGTTTAAAACGAAGCAAGTTTCTGAAAACCAGGTTGATGAGAAAAGAATATCAGCAGTCTCATTTAAAGTCATCATATCGTAAGTTCTATGCTCGATTTGTGTATTTGTGCAAGATAGCAGAGGGTAATATCTTAAAAATAATTGTTTCTGGAAAAACTTAATTTCCAAAATCAAATGTTTAGGGTTTTATTTTTTAAGGACGATTAGAAACTAGTTAAGAAATCAGAATGTAATTAAATTCTAAATATTTTTTATACATTAAAAAAATATACAAATATGTATTTGAGGAATGTATCGTCTGACTTTAAGTCAAATGCTGACTGCCTTTTTGATATTTATTGTTAGGCCATTATCTACACATTGATTTGTCGACGGAGTTTTCATTTTTCCCGACCATGACAAGAGGTACATGGCGGGTTTGACCGGTCGACAGAGGTGTTTAATCCTCCGGGGCACCTGATCCCAGTGTTTGCTCCGCACTTTTTTGTAAGGTTTAACCCCTTCCCCGCAGTTATGCTTTTCACGCATTTACCATTTCCTATTTCCAATACAAAATCACGCATTTACCGTTTCTCCGCAACCACGCATTTTTACTCACTTTCAAAAGTAAATATAATCTTCAACATACTGCCAATTCCCTTCTATTTTATACATGCTAAAATTTCAGGAAAAAAGATAATTAATGATCTCATAAAAAAAAAACTACCGTCATAGTTATTTGCGCATAATTTTTGAGAAAATTTGTATCGCTCTAAAAAGTGCATGCGGGGAAAAGGTAACGTCACATTTCTATGACGTATATATTTAATGTATGTTGCGTTACAGATCAGTAAGTTGAAAAAAGTTAATAGAATTTTGAGCTCTTAACCCTTAGCATAACTCTGTTCGTTATCTCCACATATTTCATCAAAAGTTACGTATTAAATCAAATCTTATCAACAAATTAGTAATTTCATGATCATTTGAGGAGCATTATCCAGTGTTTCTCTCTGGAAAACGAACAGAAAAAGACAAAGCTGCATTTTTCAATTAGAAATGTAATCCACTATAGTGTTCATGTTCTTCATCATAAAAAACTATAGTCCTGCTGGACACGTTATTACAGGTGACATAAATATATTTAATAATGAGGACTTCAAATCACTAATTTTAAAAGATCCTTAATAAAGGGAACCCCGATCCTTTAACTGGCGTTGGATTTCATAAATATTTTGGATTCTGTTGAGGATTACGCCAGACGATGGGCCACATATGAAAAAGGAGATGTTGACACTTTGTCATAATGGATTAAATGTATCATGCAGATCAATGTTAAAATCACATATTAAAAGATTGAGTGAAAAAATGAAAACTATCAATCATTCTGTATTCAATAATCCAGAATTGAAAAAGAAATTGAAATAGATTACATGATCAGTACATACTGATCCCTGATGACAAAGCAGGTAACAACATTGTCTTCGTTTGCTAGGCTTATTATATAAATTGTATTTTAGATGTACTTGGATTTAATTCTGTAAGTGATTATCCAACTAATACTCATAGTTCCCTTTCTAAGGAGGAAATTCTTCAAAAACCACATGTCAGTTTTGATTGTTTTTAATATCCCAAAGAATTAAAATAAATTTGAACTACCATATATATTTTGTGTTTCAAAACTTCATAGGACTTCAAAGATACATAGTAGGTTCCAGTAAATATTCAACGAAGCCTCTTTCTTTACTCCCTACTAAGATATTAAGAGAAGTGAAGGAGAAACTTCAAAAGTAGTGTGCAACAATATATTCAAGAAGTGTTTTAAATCAAATGTGGATACGTAAAAATTCCAGGGAACCTTTTTTTTAGACATTTTGAAATCACACGATTTTACCAAAATCAACAGTTTAACAAATAACGACTTTTCAATTTTATACACAACCATTCCCCACGATAGAATCAAGTCCAGTTTTTTTTTATATCATTGACAGTTGCTTTTCAGTAAAAATGGAACTCATAAATTTACTAACTTTGTCATTGGTCATTTGCAAAATTATTTCGTTAAAAATATTCTGATCGTACACTCAAGTACTCTGAGGTCAAAATCAAAAAGATGCTCGAGTTTCTGATTGACATTATCTTTGTGGTTTTTGAAGAGAAGGTCTTCCAACAATCTATTTGAATTCCCATGTGTACCAATTACACCCCGTTATTAGCAGACCTAGTTTTGTATTCACATGAAGCAGAATTTATACAAAAGAAGAAAACACTTGCTGTGGCTTCAACTCAACATTTAGATATATCGACTATATATTGTGAATTAACAATTGTAATTTGCATTTCTCACATCGTAACGATATATCCTGGTAAGCCTGAGATGAAAGATACCACAGAATCTGACATAGTTGGTTCACATTTGGATATTTTACTTGAAAAAGACGTTAATGGTAATCTAACAACCAAGCTCTATGATAAACGTAATGACTTTAACTTTTCTATCGTCAACTTCCCTTACTTATACAGCAATATACCTTCATCACCTGCATACGGAGTATATATATCTCAGTTGATTCGATACGCAAGAGCATGCTCTATGATAAACATGATTACTTTTACTTTGCTTCCCTTACTTAAGCAGCAATATACCTTCATCACGGAGTTAATATATCTCAGTTGATTCCATACGCAGGAGCATGCTCTACGTATGAACATTTTCTAAAACGAGGTAAATTTTTTTTTTAAAACAAGTTGATGAAACAAGAATATCAGCTGTTTCGTTTAAAGTCATAATTTCGTAAGTTCTATGGTCGATATAATGTCGATATAATGACAAATGCTAACGGACGTTTTTCATACTCATTATTAGTCCATTATTTATACACTGAATTGGCGACGGATTTTCCCTTTTTTTCGCTATCACGACAAGGAGCACACGGTAGGTGTGACCGGTCAGCAGGGGATGCTCACTCCTACTCCTCTATGGCACCTGATCCCACCTCTGATGTTTTAGAGGCCCGTGTTTGCTCTGCTCCTATTTTGCATTGTTTTATGTACTTTGATATTGAATACTGTTTGTTATCTCCATACCCTTCATATCTGGTATACTAGTACCTACCACAGACACAAATGATAGCCAAAAAACGGCATCTAATGGAAGCAAATGTGTGTGAAAAAAACTGTATAGGAATATTCTCCAACTTTAAAATGGAGAGCTTTGGTCAGCAGTTGCAGAGTCTGGGTATGCAATTGTCTTTGGCAAATAATGTTAATCCATTTTGTCCAATGCTGCTCAACTGAGTTTAAATCTGGCGATTTAGATGTCTATGGAAGAAACAAGTTGCTGTTATTTAGTAAGAGTAAGATTGTCAAACTAGCCGTATGTGACTGTATATTGTCAGATTGAAACACGGCTCCAGGATACTGCAAACTTATAAAGGCATGACTGTATAGGTTGAACATTGTAAGAGTGCCCTTTTCCGTCAAAGTCGTCCTTTTAATATGAACAAATACAGTCTCACTTTTACGTAAAACCGATTTCCGTATTATTACACTACCAAACCATATCTGACAACGTCCTGAATGCAGTTTTCTTTCTAACGGTTCTTACTAGGCCTTAGCACTTTTAAGCTTTTAAACTTAACATAAGCTTACAGATAAACATTCTGGACTAGTAGCAAAACCAAAATATTCAACGGTGCTGCTGTGGCCATACTCTGTTTATCTGATATCCTTGAAGTCGATATTTGCGGTGTTTTGGTATCAGAACAATGGGATAAATAATCCCCATGCAATAATTCGAGCACTTCATCGTAAGCTGCAAACAGTCTTGTTGGATGTTTTGTGCAGTTCAGGAAATGCTAATGCTGTAGACGACGTCATAGTGACACATTCATGAAATTTACGTAATCCTCTGAAGCTGTCTTGTGCTTCTGATGCCACATGTGGTCTGCCATATTTTTTGTGACGACTATGTCTACCTTATAAATAGTATATGTTTTATAGGTTATATATGGTGCTGTGCTTGATATTAAAACCTCTTGCAATAGAACTGTGGTACACCTGCTTCCAGTCGCCCATTTTCCTTTTTGTGATATGCAACATTTAGATGCACAGCATTTTTAGATAGCGTCAATTTTCAAATAAAACCAGAATAAAATTTTCGAGAACCCCTGCTTTTGATAGCCCCTTTGTGTCTAAAG